AGTTTTATCATCTCTGGACGAATGCTGTCATGAATTAAGTAGCCAAAAATGATTCGAAACTCATCATTGTAACTTATGACCAATAAATAGCTCTTGTATTCTGCGCAATGTCATCCAAATCAGTTTCTTCTCATGCTTTGTGTTCCGTTTTCCTCTTAAGTTCTTGGCTGCCCCAGATGGTTCCGTTCCGAGGAAGCCACTGGCAGACGTCCCTGCTGGCGTTCAGGGCATCTCTCCCTGTGAGGTGAGTGCAGCTTCCACCAAGTTACATAGAAGTGTTTTCATCCTTAGGCAAACACAAATTTTCCCAAGTCCAAATTAACTTTTAACTACAGATGTTTGCTTTTAAGTAACTATACATAAAAGTAGTTAAGAACCGTTGGCGTCTCGCAGAGAGTTCAATGGTAACCTATACAATTATCGCCTGTGTGTAGTATTTGCTTCCTCGACTGCAGAACGTGGTTGGAGATGTTCAGATTTAAGCTGTGCTCCAGAATTCCCTTTTGAGCAACAATGGAAATGAAAGCCTAGCTGAACCGAAAATACTTTACTGTAACGTGGTATACTAGACAGCCAGCATTTACATATATGTTATGTAATTTATGTCGTGTTTTGTTTTGATGTAACTAGATTTAAGATGTCCTGGTAGCTATTAGGTACCATTAGAGAGACTGTTTCTCACCATAAAGGTTGTTTGTTCGATCTGCAAGGCAGGAATGATAGCCCACAGGTCTGCTGTGAGGAGTACTTAGTGTTTGTGGAGTATGGCCTGTGTTACCTTGAGTATACTCGATCTGCGTGGAGAAGTACAACAGAAGAGTAATATCTGCACCTTGAATTTGGTTACAAATGTGGAAGTCTTAAAAGCATGTGTAAAACCACTCACTCTCTTCTTTAATGAGATGACAGGAGTATTTGCAGGTAAACCTGTTACTTGCTCTGCTGCACTCTGAGCTAGTACAAAACAATTCCAGTTCAATTTTTGTGGAACTTCCTCAGGTCATTCTGATGTTCAGCAGAAAATTAGAGGTTGCTTTTTCTCAGGCAGGTACAGTTTTCTCTGCAGAAAATCTCACAAAACATACTACCATCTCCTGGAAAATATGTTACTTGAATAAAGCTAATAGCTGAGACTTCTATTAGGGACCAAATTAAGGAATGGGAAGGAACAGCCTTTAGAAAAGTAAAGTGGAAGTGAACGTTGCTGCTGTTGAATTAAATGACAAAATGTCTTCTTTCATTCATGTAATTATTTCCCTTGTAGAGCACAACCAAAGAAGAAGAAGAAAGTGGATGTAAAGAGAGAGCAAGCACAGAAGGATCGTATGAAAAAGAAGATTAAAAAGCTTGAAAAAGCTGCCCCAGAAATGATTCCAATTGAAGATTTTATAACACCACTTAAGTACTCAGATAGCAACAGGTAAGGAAGACTGTCTCTCACCACGTGCTTGCATTCATGCTAGGAACGCTTCTAGTTTCTTTCTCTTGCAGTGTAGTGCCAGCTGTGGTACAAAACCTTATCTACTTCTACCAGGACAAAAATGTGGGAAGCAAATTTTATTTGCTTCTGCTAAAAGTAGTGAAAAAATAGTAACATCAATTTCCTGTAAAAATGACCATGGAAAACCTCACAGACATTGCACAAATGGCATGTGTTCTCTGGGGTTGGGGGAGGGGGGAGTTGTTGTTTTTGGGGTTTTGTTGTTTTGTTTTTAAACTTGCTCTTTGGGGTGCAGGCTATTTCTCTATGACAATGTTATCTTATTCTTTATCAGGGTGCGAAGTCTTGTGCCTCTGTCATTTGAGGAGACTGAAAGAAGAGTTTTACTTTTGAAAAAGTGGTGTTTGTTTAAGCAGAAACAAGATAATGCAGAAAAGAAAGCAATTCAGAGCCTTGTAGAAGCTCAGCAAGAGGCACTAAAGGAACTGCGCCTTGAATCTGAGGAGTTGTACCAGGCAGCAATCAGACGAGATGAGGGGCTTTTCCCCTTTGAGAGAGATGGACCTAATTATACCCCACCCCTTCCTGGTTACGATCCTCCTGAAGGAAAATGTGTTGATATCACCAAAGTGTACACACAGTGATGGAGGAGTTTGCTGTTCATCTGGCATGAGCTACTGAGCCAAACGAAGGAGGAAAGCATGGAATAAGAATAAACAATTTCTTCTGCAGGTTAAAACACTGTAGGTGCATGACTGTAAAAAAACTCAACATATGAAGTATCTGTTTGTTTGGGTTTTTTTAAACGGCTATCTAGGCAGGAAGATGCCCAACAAAACTACACTACCTTATACTTGTGCCATGCTAGAACATGACAAAGAAGTAGTATTTCAGAGTATTTTCTCTTTCTGGGCTATCTCTCATTCCTCCGTGCACTCCTGAGCAGCATTTTTTTGCTCTGCATAAAGCATAGCTTGGAATATTCCTGTGCAATGAGGAAAGAACGTCACAGTCATCAGATCAGAGTCTGTACTATAAGGGAGATAGCAGCTGACTGTTTACTGTCTTTCTTTTCAGACCTCAGTGAAGTACTTTTGCACCTATGAGGGAAAACAGATGGAAAACGTACTGTGACAAAGCCAAAAGTTAAGGTGGTGGTTGTGTGGTTTTTTTAATATTGCCATAGAACTATTGTAACTAAGTTTCTATGGGTTTGCCCTAAAACAAAACAGATCTCTCTTCATTCATTTAAACCTTTATTTTTGTAGCAGTTTTGAGTACTGCCATTGACACACACCACCAAGAGCAGTTCCACAAATGGGCAGGGTTGCCGTTTCAGGGTCTGCAGCATCATCCCACCAGGTGAGAAGCTCTTAAACCATGAATCTGGAAAATGCCTTTCAAATACCAGTGGTTGTGATTGTCCTGAACTGGCAGGGAGGAGTCCCAGCTTGCTTTTGCTTTCCCATTTGGCAGGCTTAGGGCAGGTACCTTGTTCCAAAAGTGTGCAACACCGGCTGGTAGTGAAAGAGGTCCTTGTCTAGCAAGAGGAGCTAGATTATGTATTCACTAATTTGGGAGTTGCCTGCCAAGTTGCTGCAATTAAATCCTAAAGTGTAAGACAGCAGTAAGAGACCAGAATCAAATTAAGCACCTCGATTCTCACTTTAAAAAATATTGGGTGTTTAAATAAACTCTCAGTATTTTTGAATGAGTACTTAAGTATTGCAGGGCAGAGCTACAGTTGTATAATTTCAAGATTACATGGAAGAACAAAAACCAGCATAGTTCTGTGTTGTGTATTACATTACTGACCAAACACAGTAAAACAGCCTTGCTAATTTGGTTTGTCTTCATCAAGTGGAAGATACCAGTCTGGTGGCGGGCTCTTCCTGAGCGTCCATACTGGAGCGTATTTCTGTTGTTCCATAACTCGAGCTCTTTCACTCTTGCACAAAGCTTCCTGAAATACAGAAAAAAGATATTACCATGATAATGTTGGATGTTCCAGCCTTACAGAGCTTATTTCCTGCTATTGACTATTTGAGATAAAATGAGGAACAGAAATGTATCACACTTAAATAGAAGTGCCAAATGCTATCCAAGTAAGCCAGGATACAAGCTTTTAACTATGGCACACTTAAGATTTTGCCTCTGACTCCTTCATTATGAAGAAAACTACCGCTTGTGTGCTACCCTCCCTGACAGAGTTGTCCTAGTTGGCTGAAAGGATGAGTTGCGCTGCAGTCTGTGCTGAAGGGCTCTCGACTTTCAGGGTTCACGGGGCTGCGGCCAGGAGCGTTTCTGGACACCCCAGGAATACCTTTTGCCTGGAACGTGGCAGTAATGGAAATCAAGAGCTTTTACAGCGGAACACGGGCAATACTCCCGCTGGATGTTAAGACATGCCCACCTGCACCCCAAGCGGACGCCTCATGTTCCAGCCCCTCCCCGTCGAGTGTCCGCCGACACCGCCCGCCCGCGGGGTCTCTCTCCCACCAGCACCGGCCTACAGAGAGCCCCGGGCACGGGGCCCGGCCGGGACTGCGACCGCTGCTACCGGGCGTCGCTCGCTCCC